TACTTTTGTAGTTTCATATACTTTCGTGGTTTTCTAAATTGAATAATTTGGCATTCTACTTAAGTGTACTTGCTGGATGCAGCTCAGGTGTAGTATCATGCAGACTGTGGCACTCACTGTGACTTGGCTATTCTGTAACAGCATGAAAACATTTAAACAGGACAACAGTGTGCAGAAGCACGTTGCAGAGAGGCTGTGCCAGCATAGTTCTAACCACCTCCATTCTTTGTCCCAGTAACTCCCCTTGGAAATTGTGGCTGCAACATGTGAAAGTAAACAGGTCTTCTGATGATCCTGTTATTGTTTGGGATAGCCAACTTCACCAGAGTCCCAAAGCTGATATGGACCTGATACAAAACAAGAGTGTCAACCAATACTTGATGGAAACTTCCCACACTTTTGGAAATGTAGGAATGACCCCCATGGCAAAATGCTACTCTGCTGTTTTTGTTCTTAGCTGGATCAGCTGTTATCACTCACACACAATTAATACAAATATAAGCTTCACCAAATATTTGCATGATTTTTATAATTAGATGTCTACCAAACAGGCCTATCTATTCTGACTGGTTTTTATTTCCATTACTTTTTATTTATAGTTGCTTTCCTTCAAGAACTATTTACAGCTGCTAAACTGATATCTAGAACCTCATGGCTTAGAAAGCACAAATGTTTTTCTCAGTCATAAAAGATTCTTGAAAGAACTCAAAATGCAGTAATTCTACCATGTATTCTGACATTTGTTAGAGTTTTGGCTCAGAGATTCTGGTTGAAAGATTGAACTAACGGTAAATTCCTCCAATTAAGAAATATCATACAACGCCATGGTTTGTCCATGCAATACTTATACCATGATTTGCTAGTTCCAATTTTATTGTCTTCTCAAGAGACATCTCACTCCAGTAGAAAAGCATTTTGTTTCAATTTTAAAACAGAAAAAATTCATTTTGATATTAGGAAAATGCAAATCAGGAGCCACAGAAAGTGGCAAAGAACAGTGCCATAACATGTAAAAATAAATTAATCTATTAGAAGTGTACACAAAGTCTAGACAGACCCAAAATTACTGGTTAAGTATTTTGAATTGGGCATAAAACCACCAGTTTTTAAGGCCATAGGTTTTGGAAATTTAGTTTGTGCAACTGGAACACACATACTTTTGGAAAAGATTCTAAAATAAATTTTAAAAACAGTCAGCTGTTCAGAGCTGAAAGCCACTCATTTAACAATTCATTCTTGTTTAAAATGTTCTTAAATTCTATTTTTCAGTTTAAAAGTATGTGCAAAAGTTTCTAAAGAGGAATTAAAGGATATATAGCTAACTAAATGCAAAGAAAAAACACTTTAATTCACTTGCTTTAGGTAGTAAACATACACTTTCATCCCCAATTGCAACTAATCAGAAGTAGCTTCTCAGTTGTGACTGAGGGGCCCATAAAAATCTCATGGAGTTCAACAAAGCAGAGTGCAATATTCGGTGCCTTGATCAGGGCTAAGGCAAGCACAGTTTTAGGCTCGGCAGAGAATGGAATGAGAGCAGCCCTGAGGAGAAGGAAGGTCTTGAGGGGAGTTGTGGATAAGCAGCTCCACGTGACCTTCTCATGCGCTGCTGCAGCCCAGGACACTGATGACCCTCTGGGCTGCATTGAGGGAAGTATAGTCAGCAGGTCAAAGGAGGTGATTCTCGTCCTGTACTCTGTTCTCCTCTGTTGTGACCCCAGCTGAAGTACTGGATCCAGCTCTGAGATTCTCAATATAAGGACATGGACCTATTTGACTGGGTACAGAGCATGCCACAAAGATGCTCAGAGGGTTGGAGAAGACAGACTGTGAGAGCTGAGGTTGTTCATCATGGAGAAGCATCTGGAGAGAGCTTAGAGCCCTTTCCAGTACCCAAAGGAGCTACAAAGAGCTGAAGGGACACTTTTGACAAGGGAATGCAGTGATAGGACAAGGAAGAATAGTTTCAAACTGACAGAAGGTAGCTTGAGACTGAGTATTAGGATGAAATTTTTTGACTGTGAGGGTGGTGAGGGACTGGAGCAGGTTGTGCAGAAAAGCTGTGGATGCCCCATCCCTGGAAGTATTCAAGACCATATTGGATGAGGCTCTGAGCAACCTGGTAAAATGGGATGTTTCCCTGCACAGGGGTTGAACAAGATGGTCTTTGAGGTCCCTTGCAACCCAAACCACACTGTGATTTGATGACTTTGGGATGACAATGTATTTTTATCTTGGTTTATACATGTTACAAAAAATACTAATTTATCTTCATTTGTGGCAAGAATGGACATTTCATTCTAATTAATCAATGTCACTCAGAAACAATCATCACATATTAATAGTATAAATTACAGTATTGTTATATTTTAGTACTTTCTAGTGGTCTCAGTTCTAAGCTACCATTGAAGTTATGAAACAGAAGAAAGGATATAAGAGAAGAAGACATATTACCTTTTTCTCCAGGTTTTACTGGGATGATGTTACTTGAGAGGGCATAGAAGATAAATCTTACATATATTTTTCCCATAATATATTGGCTAAAACTGCTAAACCATTTGTTTAATTAGACAAATTAAAACATTTACAAAGTTTTCCTGGTGTTTCCTTAATGAGTCAATCTAAGAAATTTAACATGGTGTCTGATCATGCTCAAACTCAATTTAATAGCAATTCTCCCACAGATGTGAAAATGGAAAAAGTAGACTCTTATTCAGAAGAAAGCAATTTTCTGTGAAATGGATGTTTCTGACAGAGCAGTCTCTCCATATGCTCTGGCTAAAAGGTATTGTCTTCACTGAAATAGCTTTGTTTAAATAGTAATAGTCATGTAGGAGAACATGAGCTAGGCATGCAGTTCATGAACACAAGCCACACCATAATGATCTGCATTGCTACGCCTTAACTTCAAGATACCTATGTTACAAAAAATGTAGGCGTCAAGGACAAACTTTAAAAAGCAAAGAATAGTACCATAACATGTAAAAACAAATCAATGTACTATTAGAGGTGTACATAAAGTCAAGACAGACCCAAAATTAAGTTTAGGAAATTTTAAAATGGTATCTTAAAAAAATTCTAATATTTAGCTTTTTTCTCAGCTCTCAGAAGCACAAGACAAACACTTCCTGGTGAAGAACAGTCTCAAAAAGGGCACTTTCTCTATTACCTAATGGGATTATGTACCTGCTTTTAGACACCTTTTTTTTAATCTGCAAATGAAATAAGAGCCTTATTTAATATTGATTACCCTATACCCCAGAGAACAATAAGTCTTTTGAATTAATTATTTGTAAACAGAAGATTTTTTAATTTGTTTTGCTGAGAGCAGATTTGGAATGCTGGAATAGACCCACAAGGCAAATTATCTCCTGTGTTTTAACTGACATACTTCTATATATAAATCATGAACACAGCAATGCATGTAAGATATTGTACATGCATTACACCTCTAGGTCAAAATATTACTTCAGCTAAGACAACCATAGAAAAAAATGGAATGTTTAAACCATACACTCACTTTTTGCCAAATATTCTTATATGCCCGTTTGCAAAAATGCCAACTACTGAATGAAATGCTATCCAACAAATGTAACAAAGCAGAACAGGGATAAATAACTCACTTGAAGATCTTTAAAGAATTCCCAGCTCTCACGCTGTCCTGTTCATTCAGAATTATTGAAGCTCACAGTTTTGTCAGTTTGCAATGCAGACAACATGCTACCCAAAATAGTCAGCACATCAGGAGTTAACACATCACTTACATGATTCAAACCAGTTCTACCCCTCAATATTCTCACAGCTCCTCCTTATCTCTTCTTTGAGCACCTTAGGTATTTCTCATAGTTACATGAACCACATGAGAATCAAAAATCTACATATCATCATTTCACCATTATCTTAGTTTCATATATTTCACAAAGGAAATAGACTGAGTATTGTCCTGCATACCATAAGCAGACTGTGTGAAAACCCATCCATAATCCAAGAATTATGAACACTGCTCTCTTTTATGTTTTAAGGTTGAAAAAACAAATAGGTCTAAAAAAGTGCAAATATTTGTCAAATGAGCGCCATATACTACACTGTTTACTAATAACCTCCTATTTAAAGTTGTGTACCAATATGCTAGAAGAGTAAATCATTTAACAAAATCAGTGAATCACCCCACATAGGTGTTTTTTTTCCCCTCATCTTAACACCTTTACATGGTAAAGGCTATCAACCTCACTAGCTCAGGTCTCTGCAAAATTTTAATTCACTCACTTTAGGCAGTAAATACACTCTTTTTATCAATACAGAGAGAAGAAAAAAGGTAAAAAATTGGAAAAAAGGTAGAAAATACCACTACTCTCAGTCAAACTCTCAGTATTTCTCTTGTGGAAACAGCACACACTACTCCATTTTTATCACATCCATAACTCTTAAGAGGGGAAAAGCTTGAAGAGCTCTAAAGAGCTCTATGAAGTGGAGTCCACTATGCTGTCATAAGGCCTGGCTATGACTGCCACCTATGCATAACCAGAGATAAGGGAAATTTGTCTTCAAGAAGCTTCACTGTGAAAACTTTGCACACAAAAACACAGATCAGTAAGAGAAGTACATAAGAGGAAAATAAAAGATACTCTTTGGCATGAATTCTTTGTTCACATTAAAAAAGGAGATTGTTTACACTTGAGAAATTAAAGGTTTTAGAAAAGGAATCTGGACATATTGGCCGCTTATAAGAAGTTACTAGATGGCTTCCAGATAGGTTAAAGTGCTGTGACAAAGATGAAAGGTTTCATGATTATATTAAAAGCTGAACTATACCATGATGTTTATCTAGTGAAACAAAAAACACTGTCATTAAAACACATTTGGAAGGGCAATAAATCCTGTGCCAGAAGTTTCCAATACCATATGGCATGCTTGGAAGAAATCATAGTTGTTCTAAAAAAACCAAACAAATAAACAATGCCACCAGCTAGAAGACCACATGCTAAAAGTTACAAAGTTACCTTACTTGATCTTTTCCAACTCTTCCTCATCAGCATTGTCTGAAAATAAAATAGAGGATTTTTATTACCTTTTCTCTGCAATACAGAAAAGGAGGCCAACAGTCACAAACAGGGCAATTCACATTTAACCACTACTACAACTGAAGCAGCAGCATGTACACTCCAGCAACAGATACACACAAGACTGAAATAAATCCAGACAAGTAGCAGCCCTGTGCACACCCAGACATACTTTTCTGGGTCTTATGAGTGTCTCATTTCTGGACACAATGCATTACATAAACTTGCAAGAAAGAAAAAATAGAAAAGACAGAAAGAACTAGATTAAAAAATGAAAATAAATAATTATGCCATGATAGATAGTGATTTCAATTCTGACTGATATATGAATATTTATTTATTAATTCTTAATAATAAAGTACTCCAACCTTTTTGAATACTACTGATTTACTCACAGGTGTAGCCACAAAAGAGAAAACCTGCATGAGACTCTTTTGATTACATGAATCTATCATAACATCCTTAAGGTTATCACTGCCTGCTCATTTCACAGCAGTAAAAATAGTTCTTTGGTTTGATACTTACATACATGAAATAGAAAAAATTAGCTATACCTTCACTCCTTTAAAAAACCAAACCTCAGTTTCCCTGTCCCGTTACCTAAACAATCTGTAAAACCTTGGCACTGTACCAAAGTACACTGAGCCAAATTACCCATGACAGATTCCTAATCATTAAATAAAAGAGACATTCTGGTCAAGTAGGTTGTGGAAGGTTTATCTGTAAACACAATTGTTGCCTAAAGCATTTCTGTGGAAATGCAAAGAAATTAGTTTATCCAACTTAATAAGGTTTAACAGCCTGTTACTGACACCATGCAGGAATAAATCAAAGGCCATTAATTTCTACTGAAACTTTTGCTGTAAAAAACAAACATAATTTAATTTTTTATTAATTATTTCAAAAACACTTGCTTTTTCAGATAATTGAAATACATTTTGAAATTAAAATATTTTCCTTGCTAAGAAATTAAATTATATTTTGGTGAAAAAAATAAAATGAGAGAAAATGTGTGTGGGGTTTTATTTCTGAAATACCCAGAATTTTTCAAATAGACATAGTTTTTTGTGAGACTGGCCATTGAGGAAACTTTTTAAATTGCTATGGACAGTTAAATCCTAAGCACTCTGCAGTAAGTTAATAATAATTGTAGCACCGTGGTTTTGGAAAAGATACTAAATGTTTTATTAAGCTAGAGAATGCCATATAACTAACTTTTCTAGAGAGGCATGTAAGTATTTAACAGCTTGAGGCTCACAGCAGGCCCTGAAGAAAATCTGAGCTCCTGGGTCCTGTTCAACACAGCACAGCCCCTCCCTTCCTTGCCGTTTCTGAATCTTACACAGCTACTGGTCAGAGCACAAACTCAGCTTCACTGTGCTTCAGACCAGGCTGTGAGCAAGGAACAGAGGAAGTCCTGACAGTTGAATTTACTACACAGGTTTAGATTAGACACTAGGAAGAAATTGGTGAGGGTGGTGAGGCATTGGAATTTGTTAGCCAAGGAAGTTGTGGCTGCACTATTCCTGCAAGCGTTCCTGGCCAGGTTGGGTGGGGCCCTGAGCAACCTGATCTAGGGCAAGAGGTTGAGTGGAACTAAATGATCTTTAAACTCTCTTCCAAACCAAACCACTCTGACTCTTTCAACTCTGAGTAGTTCAGTTTGTGTAGTAGCTACAGAAAGGAATGACCACCCTTACTGAGTAAATGGCATCATTATCAGCTAAAACAGGACAAGCTGAAGCCATAACAACTATCCTTAAAAGCCAATTAAATAAATATATATCATAGGGCAGATCAGCATGGATGATCTACACGGTATTTATTAATCTGAAAATATTCCATGCTTTGAGTCTATTGCTGGAGTTTTTCTCTATTTTGTTAATGTCCCTCTGGCAAATAAATAAATAATGCAAGATATTATTTAAGTAAGCAAGCAAACTGACAGCACATTAATGTTAATAGTTCTATATTAAGCAAAAAAACCCTAAGCATCATTTGAGAGAGATTGTTTTAGGAAAAAACCAATGCCTTGAACTTTAATCTCAATAAATAACAATATCCAAGTAGAACTTATATGTTTCCGTTTTTTCCATTTTGTTTGTTTGTTACGTTGCTGGCAGTGTTGAACAGCTGTCCCCAGTCACTGCTGGTCGCCAGCAAGGCTTCTTATCAAGCTACCAACTTTGTCATTTCCTATAGCTGAGAACTGCCAGTTAAGACCCAGGTAGGGAACAGCTGTGGTAGTGAAGAAATGAGTGCCATGCAGCTTGCAGAACTTGCTCACTGCAGGTTTTCCAGTGGTGGAATCTGTGTACCAAATGCTGATGGAAAAAGAGCCAGAAAAACTCACATGCATTGTGGTACCCATGACTAGAACACCAGACAGAATCTCCTGGAAGCCTGTACACATGCATGAAATCACAAACAGCACACTGTCACACACAGCACCACATGTATCCAAAAATAAACACTGTCAGAATTAAAGTAACAAGACAAGCTTTGTTGGAGTAGGTTTAAGAAAAAATATCTGTTGCTACTTTTTACTTCATTTAAACAGGTCATCAAAAGAAGAAATTAATGAAAAATACAGAAAGTACATCATAACCACATTATTTTTATTAATAGAGTTTAAATTAAAAAATTTTTAGAGCTAATAGGTTTTAACATTTTTATATAGACATACTTTTCTCATATTTATTTATTTTACATCTTTTTAGTTTGCACTGGTTAGCTCAGCTATCTCTGCTCCCAAACAGTAAAACCTAAATGAGGCATTAATGCAAAGGACAAGTAGTGCTAAACAGGACAAAGCAAACACAAATTAATTGCTGGAACTAGCGCTACTTCAACTTATTGCGTCACGCTGGAAATAGATTAAACTTCCCTTGAACACTAAAACTTTCTAATTTTTATAGTCATATAGAAATAATTAATTAATCAATTTTGATTCATGATTTATGATTTTTCATAAATCCCAACAAATCAATTGACTTCGGAAGTCAAAAATCAAAAGAATAGGACTTCTAATAACTTTAGATATGCTATCCTTCTATATATGTACATAGTTTGAAGAGCCATTACAAGATTATTACTTTAAATATTCACATTTGAATGACTCTAGGACAAGCACCAGGTAGCAAATGGCAAAGATACAGACAAGATTTTCTAGAAATTTTTATTTGTTTATCTGCCCATACTCTTACAATAGTATTCAATAACTGCAGGCTATTTCTGCATTTTCTTCAAATAAAATGTACCACAAAAATAAAATAACATGTCCTTATTTATTAAACTGGTTTACTGAATCTCTTTATGATTGAAATTATGTCCAATATCTTCTACTGAAAAAAACCAATTCTAAACTACTTAAGCACTGCTTTTCACAGTTCATCAGGACTCAAAAATAAATAATCCTCTTTCCTAGTCAGTGTAACATAGTTTTGCATACAGCTATATGATTGTATATTTATGTTAATATTCTTAATTGATACCTGAATCCCAAAATGTAATATTTTGACCTGAGGAAATGGGGCTTTCCAGCTGTAACTCTCAAGATCATCTCATCAGTCATTACACATAAAATATTAATTTCATCAAAATTTTTTTCAGAAAGATAAGGAAAAAAAATGCTCCTGAATGGACCAAATACCTCCATCACTTCTTTTCACACCTCAAGTTTTCATCCAAAACAATCTATTACTGTGTCAAATTGGCTGCTTATTTTTAAAATCATTTGCAATAATACCTGTCTCACAGACAGGTGGCAACATACTAGGTCTCTGAATTTGTCCCATTTAATTTCAAACTTGCACTTGGAGTATTTTACCTTCCAGAAGCACCAATATTTCTCAGGCAGTCTGAGAGGATGCATTTTCCTGTAACATACAGCCACATTATTTTGAATCACCAATAAAATGCTTTGTGAGACCTGTCCTCCAAAAACACATCCTCAGAAGACTTTTCCTTTACACACATGCACATCAGTGCATGACCTCCAACACAGCCTCGCTGCATTTCAGACAGTGAAATTATCTCTTTGGAAAGTATAATCTACATCAAAAAGTTACCAAACAACACATCGCAAACAGCAAGTCTTGTTTTAAATGGCTCAATTTGAAATATGGCTAGAGACCTGCCCAAAATACAGGATCAAAACACCATGTGGTTTCTGTGGTTGTATGGGAAATCTAACACTTCTTGTTTTAAAGCTGTTCTATTTTTGTATTTCCCCCATGATCTTAATAAACACTCCCATTTTAAACATATAAATTATAGTAACTGCAATTTAAGTACTTCCACGCAATTTCTGTAATCTTCAGTTTTACAATTTAACACCATTTATGTATAACAACACACACGTCATGTAGAGGTAAAGTATTACCCTAATTACATAATTACTTGCAACTGTCAATTGCAAGCAATGTAAGAGTTATCACCTGAGCAAAATAAAACCTATTCAGAAAATTAATTTTTGAAATGTATTCTACATAGGGATATCAAACCAACAGGATTTAAGGAAATTTGCAATGACAGGAAAACACTGCACATGACGTGAAGAGACAGTGTATCTGTGTCTTCCACACATCAGTCACAAATGCACACTTAAAAGTGCTCAGGTTTCTATCTATATGTTTCAAGGACACTCAAATTACTACCTGTATAGAGATATCCAAGTAGAACGGGAGCATCAATCAAACAGTGTGCTGCACAGATTGGGAATGTGGGAGTTGCTTTTAGTGCTGCTTTATATGTTGCACATTTTTAAGAGTAGACAAGAATTAGTCTTAATCCTCTAACATAACATTTGAAAATATATTGACCTCAATCCCTTTCACTTCAATAAAAATGTCCTCATTATTACAAAACCTTTCAAAACTAGCCAAAAATGACAGTTCAACTGGAGCCATAGATTTTGTAATATACCTGCTCCTTCAAGAGTAAATAAAAGCTAATAAACAAATAAGTACATGTAATAACTGAAAAAAGCTAATTGAGTCTTGAACTATTAAACCCTTAATACATTAAACATACAGCAATTACATACTAATTTTGTAGGTCATCTTCCCTGCATTGGGACACAAATTCTCTGACTTTATTGCAACTTCACCAGAACTGCTCTGTGATCCATATCTTGGGAAGACTGGTTTCCAATAAATATTAAGTTTCAGATTAGGCATCTGATTCTTTATTGGAATCTTGGGCATTTTCAGACTGAAGTTCTACATAATAGTTTAAATGGGAAGAAAATTTGGTGACTTGAGTTAAATTAAAAAAGCTAATAATGAAATATGTAATAACATAAACCAAATTCCTCATCCTGTTATAACCAGTCAGTTGGATATAAAAAAATTTGCTAACCAGCAACTCTACAGTCTCCCAACATTCAACATTTCAGCATTCAGTTGCTAATTTATGAACACCCATATGAAAAACTTGTTGCACTGTAGAGTCTTCATTTCACTTTCTCACCTCTAAACTCCTGGAACACTTGGTATAATAGGAGACAACAGGAGGCAGCACAGCAGCTACCCTCTCTGTATGATGAAGAAAGGAAACTTGTGCTGTCCACATAATGGTATACCACATAAAAATACAGTGTTTCTGTGTTGCATGATTTAGGATTATGGCAGGATAGTGTCAAAGCAATTTGTAAAAACAAGGCAAGTACAACCTGAATCAGGCCTGACTGGTCTTATCCAAATGGAAAAAAAAATTAAATTAATTTCTTAATTTAAGTAACAAAGACTCTTGTGTAAATTTTCAAGACTTTGGAATTCTGAGCTGTATGGACAAACTTATTGCTAAAAAAAAAAATTTACACTCCTTATATAAGCTAGATGCACATAACCACCATATTTCATTATTTTTATTAAGGACCAACAGAACACCATGAGGAAAATTAACAGAGGATAAAATAATTTCCAAAATACTACATCTTTGCATTACTACATAACAGACACTTAGTTCCAGTAACTGACTTACTAGGCTATTTAATACTATCTGTAAGAAAAGGGTAAAAAGAACACTAGTAGAATCTGCCAGTATTCCACAGGTATGCAACAGAATGTCTCACACTGCAGCATACAGAAACATACATGTTCTTACAAAAACCATGCAGCTGACCATATCCATGAACATTTTCATCAGAGTAATGCTTTTTCTTGGCCTCTGCTGAAACCTGTCCCTGAAGCAGGGCAAACACGTTCATTGTTAATGGATCCTTAGGGGTGGAAAACCAAAACTACGTTAAATAAGCAATGTAACAAAAAATTTATGAGAATAAGTGCTTTAAAACCATAACTGGGGGGGGGGGGGGAAACCTGCGCAACACTGGAAAAGGCATCTCTAGCTGTCTTAGAGTGTTTGATCATCTTAAGAGTGGAAAATTCAAAAGAGAAAAAGAAAGAAAAAGAGGCAGTAGAAGAGAAAGAAACACACCACCATGCATGGCTTCTGTGATGCGTGGGTGATTTTGGCCCATGGCTGTAATGTACAGTCCATCAGAGGTGGAGGCCCACAAAAACTGGGGGGTTATAACCCTGGCTTTTCTGGTAAATGCCCTAATACCTCCTGCATGAGTTCTGGGCATGAAGAACAGTCTTCTTCCTGGAAGAATTCTGGAAATCTAGCTGTTTTGCAGGTGTGGGGGAGGGTTGAGTGCATGTGTCTCTGTGTTTGAGTGCCTGGACAAAGTTTGTGAGTAAACAGAGTTTTGTGGCTGCACAGTGGTGGCTCATAGTACGTGAAAGAGACTGGCATAAAAAGTCCAATAAAACACTGTTCCACTTCCACAGGTTCCATTGCTTAGTGGCGTTTTTTCCTTTAATTGAAAACAAGATGGTTAAAGCAAAATTTAGCTGCAAGGTCTAAATGCTTCCCTACAGTCTAGCTGAGGCCAAAGGAATCCATATTATTTTACAACCTCTAATAGTGAGAATAATCTCTTCTATTTATGCCATAGTTCTACTTCTACTGCTCGTCAACAGTCACAGATGCTAGTAAATTATTGTCTTAGGTTGGAAAATGCAAGATATGGCCAGGGGTGTGTATTCTATAGCCATCTGTTAGAGCTGGGACAGTTATCTTCTGTTGATTGGGCCACCTGTTAAAACCATTTGGGGCAGTTTTCTTTATCTCTTCCAGAACCCATCCTCCTTCAGGGGAGATATCTTCTGTTAATGGGCTATTGAGTGTCACTGCGTGACTGATAAAATTACATTATCCCATTGGGAGATGCTCCACCCAGGGGAAAGAGCCAAGCGTTCCTACCTGGAGATAATCTGAGATTTAGAACACCACAGGCAGCCTTTCCCCACTGGACTCCCAGAGGAGCAGCTTTCTTTTCCACTGGATTCCCAGAGGAAGACCATCTACACAACCACTGGACCTTCAGAAGAAAACTACACCCTTCTACAGGCTCACTGCTTCAACAGAACCACATTTGTCACTCCAAGAGGACTGCAGTCACAATTCAATCAGGCTGCTACCAACACCCTGACCCACAGGGGGTCAGGTCGTATTCTGACTCTGTCAGTGTTGTCTTGTATTACTGCATTTTTTGTACTTTTATATTTTCTTATAATTTTTTTTCCTAATAAAGAACTGTTATTCCTACTCCCATATCTTTAACTGAGAGCCCCTTAATTTCAAAATTATAATAATCTGGAGGGAGAGGGTTTGTTTTTTTCTTTTCAAGGGAGACTACTGCCTTATTTAGCAGACACCTGTCTTTTCAAACCAAGGCAATTATTACAGAAAGAGTTGGTCACAACTAAGAGTATCTAGAAACCTGGAAACTATTTTCACTTACAATTGTGCAGGTCATAAAAGACTGATGAAGGAATTACAATAAACTTAGAAAATTACACAATTTTGTAATTGAACTGTAAATTTAAAAAATTGAATTAAAAATAATCCTTTTAACATTAGTTGCCAAAAAGCAGAAACACTACCTTTTTCAACTTTATTTTTCATATGGCATAGGATTCAAATCTCTTATTTAGAAATAGCAGACTAGGTCCAAAATTCTTTAACCAATGGTTTACTGATGTTTCTCCATATTAATCAGCACTATTCACCTACAACTGACTTTACTTGATCCATCTGAATCCCTTCTTACTCACTATGTAAGGGAGGACTCAACTCAGGTTAAATATGCTATACTGTACCAGAAATATCGCTCAGTGTTATTTTAAGAATTAGAAAAGTCAAATTAATCTCATAATTTGATATTTGCTCTCATGCTTTATGTCATTCAACCAGACCTCAATCACAGGAGTGATGACATTTATTAAAATACTTAAAATTACCGCTTCTCGCTGGTCTCCTGGAGCCAACAGAACTGTCAGGATTATACTTCCCAGATCATGGTCAGGGTAATGAGGATCCTTCAGACTCAAGGTAACATCTGTTTGCCTAGGAAACAAAATCTATGCATTTACTTGGATTTCAGACTCTTAGATAAGGAAATTTCTCAATCATAACAATGGAAAGCATCTGAATTAATGTGAAGCTACTTAGAAAACAGTGGCACAAATTTGCCCTACTTCTACTTATAAGTATTTCTGCTAAATGCTCATAAAAATACAAAATATTTTTACTCTGCATTAAGTACTGTATTACATGTACTGAAGTAATTGAATAAAAAATGTAACATTAATGGGTTAAAAAAAACCAAAAAAAATTCAAACATGAGGGGGTAATGCTGTGAATGAAGCTAATATGAAAACAAGATTAACATGGTCGTAAAGCAAACCTCTCCGTAGACACTGTGAAAATGTGTATAATCAGCTAATAAATTAATTGTATTCATAATACAATAATTTCTTAAACATAAGTGGTTTTCTTTAGTTAGTTTTATGTTGTGTATGTTTCTATAACTATTTTCTAGTATAAAGTTTTACTTACAATTCCACAAACATTTTTATTAGCAGATAAAAAAAATATATATTCCATAGGCTTGTTTGTGCCATACCTGTTTAATTCCAGGGATGTGAGATCCAAAAATGCTGAACCAATGAAGTCATCTTGAAGTCCAAAGTCATAATCAAATACCTATGATGCACAAGAGCATTTTTTAGTACTAGGAATATTTCTTTTTTTAGAGCTTTTTTGACTACTTCAAACTCTTTTTTCAGGGCTTCATGTCTCTCACTTGCTGAATCAGGACTACCTGAAAGTAACTTGAAACTTTCTGACCAGAAAATCAAGGCTGAAGCTGCTTGTTTATAAATCAGACTGCATCATATAGAGACACTGGTGTGTCTAATACTACTATTGCTGTGAACGACAGCAATTTTTAAAAAATGAAAGAAATACTTTTATAAACATAGGCACTGAAAGAAGGAAGAACAAAACAATCAATAAAGATAAGCAGAATCACTGATTTCTTATACATTGATTCCTTTATGAATCCTGCAAAGTGGAAACAGGAGGGCAGGATACGGTTATGAAAAGTGCTTCCACTTTTATTATAACAGTTGCATAAGTATTTGAATTGTAAGTAATTGTAGCTTTTGAAGGCTATGCAACTTTCAAGGGTTAGAAACATTACAATGTAAGATTAAAACTGAAGGTTAATTAATACTTTACCAGGAGAACTCTGCCTCTTAATTTACTACCTAAAACAGAAAATACCTTGATAAATTTACTGACATCCAGACATTAATCTGGCCAGTACATCAGAAGGTATTACTTGAGATGGGTTAAAGCTTCCTAAGTCTGAATAAAGAATAACAAATAATCCAGGGGCAGCTATTGCAGGGAAATAAACAAAAAAGATGGACAGCACAGCAACAAAGAAAAAATGCAACACAAATTAAAAAATCAAAAAAAGGGAAAAGATCGATTATCAAAATCAACTTTTAAGGTAAATTAACTTTTTTTGAGTAAACGTGAGGTATTCTGATTACTAGAACATATCTTCAGCTAAGTAAGAGTGAGACGTGTTAATACCTTGTAAAGAGAAAGGAAAAAAATTGAGAATATGACAGGACTAGGTTCAAGGTCTTCAACTCTAATGTAAGTACTTCTACTATTGTACTACAGAAACTATTCCAGAAGGCAAAACAGTTAATCTTCTACAAATACATTCATATGGACAGGGTTAAGACAGTAGTAACAGAAATCCTTTGGACCAAAGGCTACAGCACAGCTGCACAACTCAATAGGTTGGATACAAGTATGTGAGCACAAGTCTCTCACATGCATCAATCTACCTGAGTGTTCACCCTTGCATTTTCTATATCTGTTAGTCATTCCAGTGGGGAAAAAAAACAAATTATGAAATCTTAGTTCATGGTGCAATGTCAAATTGTTTTCTCCCTTTCTCCCCCTCTACAAATTATCATGGTAAAAATACCAAGTATTTTTAGCTTAGTAAAATTCAATAATGTCTTAAAATATCTGAATGAGCTGTAAAACCTAAAATACTTCCATGACAGACATACCACTTGGCACACTTTTCCTAGGGGAATAACATACACATCCTACTGCAGGGCTGATACTTGGCATAAATAAACTTAAACAGGTGGCTACATTGCAAGCTTTTCCATCTTCCTCTTTCCTTCACCTGTTAATTGTTTATGAGTCACTAAACATAATAAAGGCAGGAAAATGCCATTTGAGGATTCTGTTTAGCTTTTAAGCTTTTCTAGTAATGATGTACTTTATGCAAGCAGCATGAAACATAGTACTGATTAATACTTAAAAGATGTTCAAGTGGCATTGCTCTACTAAAAAAAACCCATACAATATGACATTTCAGTTAAAAATTCTGTAATGAATTTTAGATTAAGAATTATACTGATCTAAAACATCATGTAATTTCAGATCATCTAAGAGGATTATATAGGTGAACCAAGTTTCCATACTTCCCAAAGTATTTTCAATGTATACATGTATTATTTTGAATCCTAGGACTACAGTTTTTCTAAATACATTTTTGGGGACATAATTTTATCTACTTTGTTTTACACAACTAAGAATCACTTTTGCATATAGATCACCATAAACTACCAAAGTCAGAAGAGCACCTTTCTCTTCTGTGGGCACAAAACAACCATCACAGTTTTTCTGGTTTTCATTCCAATACCAACATCTAAGAAATACTAGTGGCACTGCTGCTTATTAGTCAGGACATTGCTGGCCACTTTTTGATCTCAACTCAAGCAATCTGTTATTTCAGAATAATGGGTGCCTCTAATATGACAAACTCATCCTCGCCTGTGATTTACTAGGGAGAGCTATCACGTAAAAATTGTAAGAGCAAAAAAATGGTACGAAATATAGAAGAAAACTCACTATGTTCCATACAAACAGAAAAATTAGAAAACTCTGGAGAATCAGGTACACATCTCAACAAATTCTCAAAAACTGACCTCAACGTTGAATTGTTTTTAATGGGACAGATTATGCTTCATATCATCATCATGCAGTGATATTTCCATAAATAAAATGGGTAATGAAATATAGTTTACTTTCTCTGCTCTTCTACTAAAATCACACTAAAGAAATATAAAACAATTATGACCTGAAGTAAACAAAAATGCCTGTATTTGCCACTTTTAAAAATGTTGACATCATCATTCTACAGACAAAACTTCAATAATTTTCATGCTAAATAGTTTTTAGTCTTCACTATTGCACAATACATTTTCCAGTATATAGAAAATCACAAAACCTGAATTCTTCCAATAATTCTTCTGTTCTAATTTATCAGACATACATAAGTTGGTGTCTTACCTTTATATACAATGGTTCTCTTAGGTTATCTAGAAGAATGTAAGCTTTTTCTTCCCACACAGGATTGAGGTTCTTGTGTACTGTTTTACTTCTAAATACTTCTTTTCCTCCAAGTTTGAACTTGACATATGGATCACTTGTTCCTGGTAAAGACACATATATATACTGTTAATTCTATCTTTGTAATACAGAAAGAAAATGGAAACTAAATTACTTCAAACAGAACTAAATATAATTTCTATAAATAGTCAAATTCAAAACAGCATCAAAAGAAAAGAATACTTTGTTGTCACAATCTGTTACTTTCCAGGGTATCAATACTCAAGTTAATTGACTCCATTAACATCAAATGTGTGCTTGCATCAATTTCTGTTGTTTGCAATCCATTCTCAAAATCATATATGAAATACTGGCAGTATTTGTTTTAGTTAACAGAATTATGTCCTTACTAGGGCTAGGATATTATCTTAATATAATTATGCTGTGCCTTTGAAAAGGCACATGCTCTACCGACATCACCAGTGTAAGTCTTCATTGTGTCCAAGCTTTTCTTTTCGGTATAGACTCACTCTCTATAGCACTCAAAATGAGAAAATTAAAGTCTGTCCACAAAGCCCTCAACACGCCTTCTGCAACAATCTCCTACTCACCAGAGAGCCTCTTGAACAAAGCCTCTTGAAACAACCGATTAACAACTGTGATCAGAAAAACAACCCTGACGAGTATAAGTAAAATGTTATATATGCCATAAGAATGTCATATGATGGGACATGTATGTGGAAGTATCACAAGGACTGAACCACCTGTGAGAGGAGGAGTCTCAGGGTGGGTGGGCACAGAGACTTGCAGTCATCCAGGAGCGAGACTAACCAACCAAAGGCTACAGTAACTCCAGCTTCAGTAACAACTGCATCTTCATTAACAGCAGCAAAATTATAAAACAAGGCTTCTTTTTTCCTTTAACTTTTAGGGCTTTTCAAGAGACCAGACTCTTGAACTGTCTGCATTTGTATGAGACTGTAGAACTCTGCATTTGTATCCACTGGAAAATACATGCAAAAGCTTGTGCATAGCTTTTCTTAAAAAACTGCAAGATGCTCTTCTAAACATAAATTAGAAGGGTTATGAGCAGCATTCTTTGCATTATTTCATCCAGCCACAAGATGTCAGTACTCTTTACCTGAAGTTAATGTCTCCTTTAAAAAAACTACAGCAGTGGAAAATTATGGTTTCTTGTGTTACATTCATTCACACCTGTAATTCCTGGGGCAGAGTTTCAGGGGCACAAAAATGTTTTGTCTAGCACAAGTAACTTGGTTATTCAAGCAGTGGTGATGATTTTGAAGTCAAAGATCAGTTATTTAAATTAATTCTGGCAGATTTTAACTGGCTAGATGTCTGCTGGAAACTCAACACAGCAGAGAGCAGGCAGTCTAGGAGGTTCTTGGAGTGTGTGGAATTTCCCATCACAGCTGGCAAGGGAGCCTACCAGGGCTGAGATTCCACTAGACCTGCTCTTTGTGAATAGAGAAGGGATTGGTGAGAGATGTGGTGGTCAGAATGCCCACCTTGGACATAGAGTTTTTAATTCTTGGTGAAGTAAGGAACAGTGAAGTAAGACCAGTTATCCTCAGGTAAACCAGCCGTTGAGCTGGTAGACAGGGGAGGGGAGCAGAATAAACATTCTGTAATGCAAGAAGAATTAGTGACTTGTGAAGCCATTTGGACAGTCATAAGTCTATGGGACCAGATGGGATTTACCCAGGAGTACCGAGGGATTTGGTGGAAGAGCCCACCAAGCTGCTGTCTGTCATTTATTTATCATCAGGTCCCAGATGACTGAGGATTAACCAACATGCTGCCCGTTCATAAGGAGGGCTGGAAAGTGGATCCAGGGAGCTACAGGCCTGTCAGCCTGACCTTAGTACCTTGGCAGGTTATGGAGCAGATTCTCTTGAGTGTATCATACAGCACATACAGGACAATCAAGGGATCAGGCCCAGCCAACAGTGGTTTAAGAAAGGCAGGTTCTGTTTGACCAACCTGATTTCATTTCATGACCAAGTGACCTGCCTGGTGGATGATGGAAAAGCTATGAATGATAGAAAGGTTGTGTACCTGGTGGATGATGGAAAGGTTGAGTACCTGGACTTCAGCAAAGCCGTTGTTACTGTCTCCCACAGCATTCTCCTGGAGAATCTGGCAGCCCATGGTTTAGGCAGGTGCCCTCCTTGTTGGGTTAAGAACTGTCTGGATGGCTGGGCCCAGAGCATGTGACTGCATGGTGTCACATCCTGCTGGTGGCCGGTCACTAGCTATGTTCCCCAGGGCATTTTAATTCTAACACCCACATATAAATTTACCCAATGAACATGCAACTTCCCAATTATTAAGGCAGTGTTCACCAGCTCACTTACCTCCACGGTCCCGTGCAGCTAGATTCTGTCCTCTTCTTAGAGTAACATCCAACTGGTACATTCCAGGGTCCCCAGAGGGGAAATCTGCATTACTAGTTCCAAATGAATTTGTTCTCTGGGGAGGAAAAAAAAAATGCAATAGCTAATATTACTAAAAGTTTCACGTAAGGTATATGTATATAACCTTCTGAAGTACTGAACTAAGAAAAGGCCACATCCCACTCCCCCACCTCAGAGCTACTACCCAACATCTACCCCTTGATGTTGGCTAGTAGCTCAGTACAACAGTTTCATCAGTATGACAATTACCAAGATTCCTTTAAAAAAACAAAACAAAACAAAACCGAAACCAAAACACACAAACGAACAAAAAAAAACCAAAACCAAAAAATACCATAAATCCCCCAAAACAACAAAAAAATCAAACTGGTTGAAAAATAATTCTTTGATACAAAGGGGTTGGAAATTGATAGTCTTTAAGGTCCCTTCCAACCCAAATTATTCGATGATTTTATGAATTACAGTTACAATTACATTAATATCTAGTCCTGGTCCACTAAAGCAAAATAAGTAAGAAAAACACAAAGCTAGACCTTATAACATTATTTGGACTAGTCATTACTAGTATCTTCAAATCCCGCGTTGATTCAATAGCTATAATGTATGCTTTGAATAAACATACATAAATTAAGATGTTGTGCCCTATTGTAGTACTTTGCAAGCTATGTGGGGTTTTTTCCACAGAGTTTTGAGAGAAGCTGTGGCAGAAAAATAATCATAAAGATATTAAATGCATCTGTAGTTCTGTATGCCAGGGCAAATATTCTTAGATTAGTTATATATATAAAACGTGTCCTAAGAAAATACAATAAAGGAAGTCAGAGTGCAAGAAACTCTCCAGTCCTCTGGAGTGCATGAAAAATAAACACATTTCTGTCCAAAAAACAAAGTGCAGTAATTATATTTCTTAGTATACACAAGCTTTTGCAGAAAAGTTTTTAACACATGTCTCTAAGTAGGATCCAAATACAGCACACACTTGGAACACCACATTTAATTTTAAGGCTAGAAAAATGAAAACAATTATACATTCACAGTACTTCAAGATCTTCATCTGTTACACACTTTGTATTTACATATGTTCATGCTAGGAGCTAAATCTTTTAAGAGTAGTGCTATTAATATTTTATTATGTGATTATGGGTCCTCTGCAAGAAAAAAATTGCATGATGGAAATATCTCAGAACATGTAGCAATAATGTGCTATACCATTTCAACAAGAAACTAGTTTTATCTCTTTCTTCCTACTAAACCCTTTATTATTTTTTAAGTAATACTAAAGCTAAAGCATGAAGGAAGACACAAAATAAAGGTATTTCAATATCTGGTTTATTCTAGTTATTTCAGAGTCATAACTTCAAGCCCTAGCATATCAACCTTTGCTATAAAGGTTATAAACACTTAAAATGCTGGCCAAAATGCACAGTGGCATGCGCACTGGTTCCACAGCCGTGAAAGAGGGACAAAGAATGTCTGGCAGCAAAAAAAAGCAAACAGAAGAGTTTCCATCAAGTTGCTCCTCTTTCGATCTGCCTCCATATCCTAATTTTGGAGCAAGTTTGCTGACATTTATTGATTTAAATCTAATATAAAATTTTACTTCTGCAACACCACTTGCAGAGCCTAGGACAGTACAGCAAGTTACAGCAAAAAAGAAAATAAAACCAATTTCTTCATTTCTCCACTAAGATTATAAACTTATTTTTCAATAAAGAAACCACAGCTTCCTTGCCAGTTCTGCTACACATTGCTTTCTCCACCTTCCCCCCATGCCACTACCTCCCTTGTTTTATCACAAATTAAAGACTGTCTTATGTTCTCTTCTGTGAAAAGCAACTACTGCAATCATACCAGTTTATTAGTTGTTTCTTACAAACACAATGGGTCACCTACAAACAACAAATTGCCACCACAGGGATTTAGACTTTTTAAGTTTTTCAAGGACTGAAGGAAGTAATTTTCTTACTTTTACCCTCCTTTTCATCCTTAGGAATATATTGCCTCAACCTGTTTCTATGGGTCTGTGTAACAGATTTTTTAAATGAAACCATGTAACCATTTAGAGCAATTTCAGTTCCAGAAGAAATTAATACTAGTTACTGGGTAAACACTTCCTTTTAGCAAGAAGCAGACAAGCCAGTCAGTGTGCAAGTACCCACCAACATCTCTTATGACTGTTCGCACGTGTGAAGATGTAACCTCCTCAAAGGAAAAGGACTCTAGATTGTACTGATGAAATCAGAACTTCTGCTGGAAATCACACACAATGCACTCAAACACTTCATATGGGCCAACGTAAATCATCCTTGGCTGATACCAAATCGAGCAGGATGTTATTGGATATGTGGGAATAAAGCCCATAAATTGTTGCCCCTAGGCTGGAAAGGCATTCGCACTTTTGAAGCTTAGTCCCTAACATAACAATAATTGATAAAGAACAGGTGCCCTCAGGACTATGGATAAAGAGCTATTTGAGGTGTACAAGAAACACATTAAATGCTGTAACTGAGCGACCAACTAAATTTTATAGCTTTGTATGGTGGTTTTTAGCCTGGCTAGGAGCAAGTGAATTAGAAAAGACAATAGTGGATTTTTTTCTGCTACCATAAAATATATAGAGAAAATCATACAATAGATGTCATTGCAGAAAGAAGTTAAGAGTTTGTCCCATGTCAAAATGGCACTAAAACAAATGGCACTAGATCCTCTCTTGGTATCACAAGAAGTATGCACTGTCATTAACACCAGTTGCTCTGTATACATTGATCAAAATGGTAGAGTGTTTACAGATGTCCAGGAAATCTGGAAACAAGCACAAATTTGGCAATGCACAGCTCAAGATGACACCTCCTGGGGATCTGAAGAAATCTGGATCAAACTTATTCATGGCTACCCAGATGAACTTTAAAACGTGTTTGTAATTGTCACCATAATAATTGCTCTGTGTGTTTTAGTTTGCATTGTGATTCAGCTGTTGTAATGTCTTATACTATAAAATGAAATGCAGATATTAATGGACCAGCTCCCTTAAGGAACTTAGTCTCAAGGGAAGGGGAGACTTGATAAAAACAGTGGAACAGAACAGCATATTAATCTCACAAGGACAGTCAAACAGAACAGCACAGCATTGGAGAAATAGATAAAGGATGTAACTTAGGCAAAGAGGAGCTGTGCAAAATGCAAGCAGGATGCCAGCTCAGCTCTGCAAGGCTGACAAAGCAGAAGTTATGCAAAACAACAATACTGTGCTAACTCAAAAGCTGGGGTTGAGGAAAAGCCACCTAGAAAGGACACCTGACATTGAAGACCATCAAAGAAAACCATATAAGGACTTTGACAAGAGGTGAGGTATGTAAAATACAGTAATACATATACATTAGGTAATCAGGGATAGGTGACGAATATGTAATCATTGTTTATGATAAAAGCTCTGTTTATCTGACATTCAGGGCACTTGATTACAGGAAGGATTCTCTGAGTGACCAGCAAAATGCTAGTCACTGAGTGGATGAATGCCTGATTTCTAATACTCAAAACTGTGTTAGAAGAATATTTCTATCTGGCCAATTTTGGTACCAAGAATGAGCCACTTTACCCTGTCCAAACACTGGAATAGGTTGCCCACGAGTGTCTCTGAAGACCCCTGAAAACTGCTCTGACTTTGTCCCAAGCAATCTTGCTCAGAGTAAGGGGTTTGAATGATCTGTCTCCAGAAGTCCCTGCAAACCTCATCCATCCTGTGATTTTTTAATTATTGATTTGAAATGTCATAGTAAATAAAGTATATGCTGACCTTAACTACCTTTCCTCAATACACTCTTTTGCCTTCCACTTCTGGCTGCCCTCATATGTGAGTGCTGCAGTTGGCATTCAGAACTACAATCCCCTCCACCCCTTAAGAGAAGAGTATGTCCAAGATACCAAGATGCACATAAATACTGAATTTTTCAAAATAAGCTTATATATATGCTTTGCATTTATGCTGCAGTGCTTATAAAAGTTGTAGCCATTCCCTGGACATTTCAGTCTTTCTCTGTGAAGCAACCCATTACTTTCAAAGGCACATCAAGCCATACTGTGTATGAGTTGACAAACATGAAGCTGCTTTCTACATATACTTGTAGAAAGCAAGTTACCTGCACTCTGAAAAATCCCAAATATGATCTTTTTCAAAAATGAATAAAGCATAATAAATTCAAGTTATTGTGAAACAAATTAGATGTGACTTTCAGAAGAATTATTGCAGAATTACTCTGTTTCCAATCCAATACAAAAATACTGAGCAGTTCCACGCCATTTTGGTTTTAAGAAGATTTTTGGAACTTCCATGGCTTGTCCGAGTACATTTTTGCAAGTACATATGTACTCGCACTCACAGATACATGATGCATGCACAAAGTAAAAGGGGAAATAGAAGCAGGGTCTAAGGGGGTGAAAATAACACTGAAAATACAAAAATTACATATTTCGTTCCCGCCAAAATCAGATGCTAAATTTCCAAAGTTTTTGAATTGTTAAGCATCAAAATCATACCCACATTTTCTTTTTCCTATTTTTCCCAAAGACTAAGTCTCAGACAGATGCAGCACTATTCTAATTTCTGGCAGCTAGCATTACTGTCACCTCTGGAAAATCTTGCACTATCACACAAAAAAATTCTCTCACTTGCCTGAAGAGTGCAGAATTACACAGCAAGTGATGTCAAACAAGGCAGATGAAAGATAATTCAATTAGGAACCAGAGAGAGGTGTCACATCCAAATCAAAGATGATCTGCGAACAATTAGGCGTCTCCATTTCAAAAAAAGATAAATACCTGAAGTCAACATAAATGCCACATACATTGTTCGCTTGAAAAAAATAATCTCCAATCATTGTATCTAAACTTAAATCATTCATGTTTTCACTACAGAAAACAATACTAATATATTCCTACCTCAATTTTCCATATTATTAATCCCAGTTATTTATATAAATACATATAAACACATTTTCCATAACTTGGGTTATCCAGAATTAGGTTTTTTTAATTTAAATTATATGACAAAGTTATCTT